TCAGGTAACGTGGATCGTATACTAGCACTTCAACCAAAATTTCGTGTAGTTTAAATTTTTGTGACCGCTAAATTTGGGCTTCTATCGCAACATGTGCTCCAAGAAATCAGTTACTGAAAGCAACAATTTCCTTTTTTAGTAAGCATTCCTAAAAAAACAACACAGGTCCTTCGAACAATATTAAGCATCGCAGATCTAAGTTATAAGTTTAGGTTTTTCTTACTTGCATTTTCAACTATAATGGATATGTTGCCAAATTGTAGATGACTATGAGCCCTGTAATGACTTGTCAGATTACATTTCGTTTGGGATGTTAATCCCAACTCATAATGCTAAAAAAGGGACAGTAAAGCTGATGGATACTATTCATTGTGGAAACTTTTAAGATGCCATTGTATCAAATGATGGAACAAATCACCATTTTGCATCGACACAGGGTAGAAAACAGCACTAACGAACCGAAGCGGGAATGTGCGAACCAATGAGAAAATTATCTCGTAACACCAAGCCTGTACTTCACGTAGTAGGCAGAGAAATCGCTTACTTATACTTGGTGCCAGTGCGAATATGAGGTTCCAGCTTGCATCGATAGATAGTGGGATCTCGCATAGCTCCATTGTCCGAAGACATATCGATTTTCGCACGAATACAGGTCTTGAGCCCTTGCTCCGTTCCTTCTTGCATGGATTTCCACATCGCCAAATTCCTTTCAACAGCTGAAAAGCACAACTTTTTCACACCATGGCCAAAAAATAAAACTTGTGAGGAACAACTTGACTTACAGTTATTGCGGCAGGCAGACTCCTGCCTGGCTTCGCGTTGTTTCCTCATAGTCTCCAAATCAGTGTCGTCAGCATAGGCCTTACCGTCGCTAATCAGCTTGGTGCAGAGCTCAATCATGCGATCGAAGTAATTGGAAGTGTAGCTGAGAGAATCCCACTTAACTCCCAGACGAGGCAAATCAGCTAAAATTGCTTCCTCAAAAACCGCACTCTCCTTCTCGGGATTCGTATCATCAAAACGAAGTATTAATTTTCCATCAAAAGTCTCCTGTTGTCAGAGAAATTCAATAAACAAACGGAATAAAATGACATACTAACCTTGTAATGATAGTTTAGGAGAGCAGCTTTAGCATGTCCGATATGCATGAAACCACTAGCCTCTGGCGGAAATCTCACAACCACCTCTCCCATCTTGGCACCAGGAAGATCTTCAAATTTCCCGCCTTCCTCAAATTTCATGTCTCTTGCAGCACG